TGAGGACTGAGAGAGGGGTGTGAAAAAATATCTGAAGGGGCTACAGGGAACCCAGTGATTCTGAGGACTGAGAGAGGGGTGTGAAAAAATATCTGAAGGGGCTACAGGGAACCCAGTGATTCTGAGGACTGAGAGAGATACTAGCACATGTACAATGAGTGCATTGTATCTCTTAAAGGGGAATTCCACCACAAAACAACTTCATGCTTGTCACATTCACAGTGGCAAAGACATTTTGAAGAAATCTTTTGCATTCAGTTTCCTCATTATACAGAACATTGCCAATTTGCCTTCTATGCAGCAGAATTGAACTTAAGATCATAAAAACAGTAACAATTCACAGGCTGCATTAATGGCAATCCCCAAATCATTCTATTTAAAGCTAAGTTACAAGTGAAATCATCGGTGCATTTCTTTCCAGGAAGCAAAGTACAGAAAATACAGCTCTCTCACGTAAGAGGCACACAATCTGTCACGTTGGATCAAATTTCTACTTAAGAGGATGACAATTAACCTGAGCTAACCTTAACATTCATGTCTCATCCGGCAAGCCTCTTCATACTGCATTTCAAAAGATGAAAAGATAACAGTAAAATAATGACATGAATGGAATTCATTAACGAGGGGAAGATTCTGAGGTCATTTTCCAAGCTGTAGGAAGCAACCTTTAGGGAGTATGTTTGGAAGAACTCCGAAGTTTGGCCTCATTAAGAGCTGTGGGTGCTGCATGGGACATAGCTGTGTGATGCTTGGGGCTGTGTTAAGTCATTCACTTTGCCTGTGTTAATCCCGCTTCGATTCCCTCTCTCCCTCTCTCTCTACGCATCACATCACACACATAGCCCACGGCCTCCTTAACGAGGCTGGTCCACATCCTCAAACAATAACCGCCCCCCACCCCCCCGCTATCCAACAGAGGGGCTGTTGTATTAAGTACCAACAGACATTAAATCATTTCAACAAATAATGTTTTATTTCTGCAGGGGTGGGGGGGATATAGTTAATTGACTTTGCCTGAGAGGAACATTTATTTTAAATGCACATCACTTTTGTGCTGGAACAGTCACAAGTGTGACTGTAAAAACCGTTAAAAAGTGTTATCGAAGTGGGAATAGCCTTGATGCAAATAAAGAAGGATGGGGACAGTGAATGAGTCTGAAATGGAGCAAGCACACAGTCAGGTGAAGACCTATTTTTCCGTTTTGTTCTTTCCTTTTGGCACCGTCCAGCTTCCCTTCCATAGTGGTTCGGTATATTGCGGTCTTCACTGGAAAAACTTGTCTTTTTTATACTGCAAGTAAACTTTCTGTATGTGGTCTATTTGAGTCTCTGAGCATGTTGTTTGGGTCGTGGTGCAACCAATAGGAGACTGAGGACAACAGTCATGCTCATCTCACTTATGCAACCCGTTCACCCCTGACCTAGACCAGAGGGTTGTAACAATCACAGCATTATCATCAACAGCGGGTCAGAAAACTCAGAAGCATACAGAAGTCAAAAGACCTTCAAAGTCAAGGTGTTACTCACCCATCTGAGTCCTGGTAGTTAACATTCAGCCTCTTTGTGGAGCCCAACAATTCTGCAAAGATATAAAAAGAGAAACGTTATTCTATACATCCCTTTTTATGCCAGTCTGCCCACTTCTGCAACAGATTACCTTCTGCTTTCATAATAAGGATGCTGCCTCTGTTCTGCGTCTGTGTCCTTCTGCAATCTTTTGTGTCATAGATATCTTAAGAATGCCCTCAGGTTCTTCAAAGAAACACTGTCAGTACACCTTGGAATTTTACCCAGGTTTGTATACTTTGCAAACACAAAGTGGTCAAAAACGGTTAAACCAATGCAGCACATCATTAATATTTCAATATTCCTTGTAACTACAAGTCTTGGCCCCACAAGCCAAAGATATGCTGACATCTACAAGGTGTCAAAACAAGCTACACATTCATTTTGAAATATAAAAGCTAATTATGACCCCGGATGACTCTTATAGTCAGCTCTGGAAATTGGGCGAATATGCAGAGCGCACCAAACTGAATGATGCCCTTGAATAACTGCACTCTCATATTCATGGAGTAAATGGGGCTTCAGCTGTCTTGTCACTTTAGCGTTCCAGCCCCAATTGAGCTAGTTACAGACAAATCACTCCTTTGGGACCATTCACCCTAACATGAATACCAGGTCCTGTGTTCCACACAGTCACAGAACAGAGACATCTCAGAGTAATTAAACACTTTTCATGCAGAGATCTGTTCACAAAGCATCTAACAAATATCAGATGCATTATCGCAAACTGGAGGTGAATACACCAATTTCATTTTCATTTAGCTTTGTGCACTGGGGTGAAACCCGTAAAAGGGGTCTGAATGTACGTTTGTAAACAATCACAAAGTCACTAGGGAAAATCCATTGTGTTTTACAACACCCAACCTTCCGTAACCACATACCTGAAAAGGAAGCAAATGTAAACTCTTAAGGTCTCAAACAGCAAACGATGATTCATAAAATAAACACAACAATGTCAAGTTTTCTAAACTGCCCTTTCTGTGTCCATGGTAGACAAAGACAGAGTAAGGGTAGCTGAAAGTTTGGTTTTCCCACAAGAAAACCCAAACTGTAATAACACCACACTAACCTGTAAGACGGTAGGAGCCTGGCACCCCCCACCCCAGCATCATAAATCTCTCCCTTTCTCGCTCCATCCCACAGGGCAGTTCATTAACCTCCAGACCCTAGGTCAACCTCAGCAGTAAGGTCAGAGGACATTAAAGGGTTGACTCGGGAACCGAGAGGAGGGGAGGGTGGACATTTAAAGGAGGCTGCTTTTGCCCTGTGAACTTTCGCAATTATGCCTGCGATCCATCAGACCCTCGCGGCTTTAAAGACAATGTTGTCACTGGGAGTCCCCAGTGAAGCCCTGAAACCACAGCTTGCTAAAGACTCCAAGTATGTCAGGTGACAAGCACTCAGACATGGCTCCTCCGACTCACCCCTGACACAGTGCATTTAGGGGGCATGTTTACACCCTACCATGGCTCTTAAAATGAAATATCAGCTGTGTGGCATAGCAGCTGAATAATCTCTCTGAATACTCCCCCTCCCCCCCCCACATGGCCCATCATCAGTGTTAAAAGAGCAGTTCACAGCATATCCTGCATCAGCTTTCTTGTCATTATTCACTCATTTATATTATTTGCTTAGCAGGCATTTTTAATCACTTACACACTGCAACTGGACATTTGATTTGGGTGTCTCAGGTCATATTTTCCCAGCCTGTTCGGATTTACACAGCCTGATGCTTTCGTTAGCACGCTCAGGACCACTAAGTTGAGGATCCCCTAACGACTTTGACAAACCTTAACCCCTTAACCACCACACCACCTACTGCCCTAAAGCTTCCTGATCGCTGGAGCCCTTTAAACCTGAACAGCTTGGCCCATGGGGGAAAGCTAGTGTATAGGTACCTGCAGATATGCCATTTGATACATTTTACTAAAGCCACCCACTTACATCCAGCGATCTTAGACACAGCCCTACAATCCCGAAGAGAATGATGCCCTTGGCCCCATGCTGCGAATAATAGCTTGTGTCAGGCTTACTACAAAATCAAACGTATCACCAGAGCTTTGTATGAGCTCTGCTCCAGGGACAGCTCACTGACATTATCATCAGCCCCAAAGTGCTCTCCAAACTGGCCAAGCAGGTGCCTGGGCTTATTTAGAATGTGTCTCCCTGAAGCCCTTTTATAGTACAGCACTATACATCTGCAGACATTACCACATTAGCACAGTAAAGCACCTCGAAGCCCTCACAGTGGAGGCCAATAAACGTTTACACTTGAGTGCCGGCAGCGATTCTGATAAGGTGACCTCTGAGTGGCCGACTTGGTGCTGACAGATCTGCCCTACGTGGGCACTTTGGTAACATTCAGTCATTTGGAAGGTCTGCATTATCTTTGCAACCAAAGACAAGCAAAGAACACATAGTGACACTTTTAAGGCAAAGGATAACATATCAAAAAGTAGGCCAGCTTTCAGACTGCATTCTGATTGCTCTGCCCTGTCTTTGTTAAAGTGGGAAAGGTTATAAGGTTAAAATGTCAAAGGTCACAGAGGCTGAGGGGGGCATCACAGAACAGACTGCATGGCCACTCACAGCATGAAAAAAAGACATAAGAACAATCTATTTACCACTAACGTGTCTAGCAAACAAGCTTTATCTCTGCTCTGCCATGTCTCACATGTACAAGACTAGACTACAGCTGAGTTTTGAATCACAAAAGCTATATTAGGAATTCCTATCAATCATCCTGTTGGAGTTCTGTACATATAAGTTGTTTCTGGTGTAAAGCATAAAACTCTTATCCAGCCAAAGACCTAATGTAATAAAAAAACTACTAATTACTAATATTAAAAACTAAAATAAGAAAAAAAATTATATTACATTTCATCAGGTAATGCGGAACACAGAACCACACAAAATGACTAAATATTACAACTAATGCATCTTTCCTTTAATATTAAATATTACACTAAAAACAGACTTGAGTACAGTGGTACCTCGGTTCTCGAACTCACTAGAACTCGAATTTCTTGAAAGTCGAACAAACCAGTTTGACCTTGAACTCAACCAACGATTAACCAAATAAAGCAGCGCAACATTACAGCAACTAACAATAAATAAACCACTAACTTACGTGTACTATTAGAGCATTTATGTCATTTAATT